AAAGAGACCACCCTATCGTGCTCTTCAGTGACACTGAGAAGCGAATGCATCGATATGAAGTACCCCAATACATGTAATACAGTACTGTAAAATTTGAAGTGTGGTGAATGATAATACTATACCACGCACATTTTCATTACCGCCATCATCACATCATGTTGCCTTATTGGGACTGGATTACATTTGGGAGATTGTAAAATTGCAGTAATTATGCCACTGTATATATAAAGTTAATTTCTTGTTGGAACACTCCTCAAAATGCTGGAAATAGCCTATCTGAGCTTCAAATTGTGGTGCATGTTTACACTTTACACTATCATGGTGTTATCACATACACCAGAATTAGCTAGGTACATTTACACCGTTTCAGGGTATGTTTACAGCATAATAGGTGTTAATACTTCGTTTCATTTTCTACTTTACACCAGATCAGTGTATCTTAAAATCGTCTAGTGTAATTATACACCAGGTTCAGTGTAGATTTGCATGACGTAAGCATTCATGTTTTTTACATCATATCGGTGTATATTTACACAATCATGGTGTTATCTCATACACAAGAATAGGCTAAATTTACGCCGTTTGAGAGTAAATTTACACCAAAAAGGTGTTAATACTTCGGTTTCTACTTTACACCAGATCAGTGTATCTTAATATAGTCTTAGCTAGTGTAATTATACACCAGGTTCAGTGTAGATTTACACTAAGTAAGCATTCATAATTTTTACGCCACTCCGGTGTATATTTACACTATCATGGTGTTATCCCATACACAAGAATTGGGTAAATTTACACTTGTTAAGGGTAAATTTACACTGCAATAATAGAGAATACAGTAGTTTCTACTTCACCTCAGCTCCGTGTAATTTAACGCGTTCTAGGTGTAATGATACACCAGGAAAAGTGTAAATTTACACTTCGCAAGTGTTGGTATACTTTACACCGAATAAGTGTATATTTACACTATCGCAATGTGTAAATTAACAGGGAAAGAGGTAATGTTACACCGTTCTAATGTAAATCTACACCTAATTAGGTGTAAATAGAATATTTTCTACTTTACACCTAGTGAGTGTTACCGAGACACTAAAATAGTGTAAAGTTACACTGTGGAAGTGTAATGTTACACTCGAACGGTGTTTAATTCCGCGTTACACCTAATTAGTGTAATGTTACACCTTTTTGGTGTTGCCGCAACACCGCGAGATTTACAGTGTATCTCCCCCTTCTGGGGTCCCTAACTGCTGTTTTGCATAGGTAGGATCACCGTCTTGAGACTGTGTCGTCTCTAATTCACGCTCATTCGAGTGCCATTTGTGAAGCTTAAACCCCGCATCCTCGAAAATAGTTGTTGCTTTCTCTTTAACTTCTTCCGTTTCCGATACTGATGTTCACCCCGTTATCAAATCGTCCACGTACAACTCTTCACGCAGTTTTGCTACTACTTCCGGTTCTCTTTCTTCCCAGTTACTCAGGTGTGCATCAATGACTCCCCCCAACAAGAAGGGAGATGATACAAGCCCGAAAAGTGCCCTCGTAAATCTCAAGGTCTCTAGTTCTGATTGCTGATCTTTCTGCCAGTGAAATCGAAGCGCGTCTCGGTCGTTTTCGCGAATACGTACTTGCAAAAAGGCCTTTTGCAAGTCACCCGTCAGAGCTATTGGATGAAACCGTCCTCTAACTAACACATCCCACATTCTATTTTGCAATGGAGGTCCCGGATGTCGACACTCATTCAGCGATGGAACACCGTCATGTGCTTTTGCAGAAGCGTCATAGACAACTCGGATTTTTGTGGATTCTGCATTAGGTCGAATTTATTATTATTATTATTATTAAAAATTTTATTTTACAACGCTTATCCTTCAACACGCCTAGGTTATTGATTTCCAAGGAGCCGTTCACACTATATGAATCTATATTTACAAATGGAAGCAATACATAATAATTACATAATGTCAAAATTATAAAGATGTTACACATTAATTAAACACCTATTACTAGTTATAAAAGATATAAAACCATGCAAAACTGACTGGCCTTAGTTACATTTACATTTAATGTTTAATACGATCAAGCGCAGCCTTAAATTGCCTAATTGTGGCATCACTTGTTTTTACACATCTCGGTAAATTATTCCATGTTTTAGCACCATTATAGCTAATGCTTTTTTTCATAAAATTTGTTTTAGGCTTTTGTAGAGTAAACTCATTTCCGTTGCTACGTAAATTATAATTAATGTTATTTTTAATTTCAAACAGGTTCATCAAATTCTCTGGTAATTCATTTCTCTTCGCTTTGTACATGAATACTAAACTATTTTTTTCCCAATGATCAATTAGGGGTTTCCAATCCAGTTCCCTCAAAACTTCATTTGAAGGTGTCTCGTATGATCTGCCAGTTATGACCCTTGCTGCCCTGTTTTGCATTTTCTGCAACTTACTGATCAGCTGATCACTACAGTTGCTCCATACAAGGCTGCAATAGTCAAAATATGGTAATACTAACGCATTGTACACCTTAATCAAAGTTGTTTTGGGGACACAGTTCTTTATTCGTCGTAGCATACCTATACCTTTTGATACTTTGCCTGAAATAGCTTCAATTTGATTATTCCAAAGTAGTTGCTCATCAATAATTATGCCCAATGATTTTGCGTGATTAACCCTCTTAATTTTTGTATCCCCAAATTCTAAGATCGGGTCAGTTTCAACAGTCGATAATCTCTGGTGTGAACCAATTAGCATATATTCTGTTTTATCTTTATTTAATGTCAATTTATTGGCCAACAACCAGTTGTGCATAAGCTCTAGGTCGAAATTTAATCGCCGTTGTAGTTCTTCTTTATTTAAGCTTGCAGTGGTTAGATTTGTGTCGTCGGCAAACATATTCGCTTTAGTATATTTTAAACAATTTGGCAAGTCGTTAATATAAAGAAGGAATAGCAGAGGACCCAAGTTAGATCCCTGGGGTACTCCACTACGAATTTTTTGCGGCTCTGAAATAGTTTGTCCAATCTTACACCTTTGGATTCTATTTGACAAGTATGATTTAAACCAATTTAGTTCAACCCCTTTTATGCCATAAAGTTCTAATTTTCTGAGTAGGATACTGTGGTCTACGCAATCAAATGCTTTCTTTAGGTCAAGAAAAACCACTCCATTTAGGTACCCTTTGTTCATATTTAAATACCATTCATTCGTAACAGATAGTAATGAAGTTTCTGTTGAATGCTTCTTTCTGAAACCTGATTGTTGGTTTACTAATATTTTATTACTTTCCAAATAGTTTGAAAGCTGATGAGATATAAGTTTTTCAAAAATCTTAGCAACCGCAGACAATACAGACACAGGTCTATAATTTGTGGGTTTACTTTTGCAATCCGATTTATAAATAGGGGAAACAATTGCTATTTTCATATCATCTGGAAAACTACCCGATAATATTGACTTATTGAATATTGTTGATAACGATTTAGCAATTACGTCAGCACAATCTTTCAATAGTTTAGCCGAGATTCTGTCATGTCCTGTAGCTTTATTTGTTTTAATAGTATATAACAGTTTAGAAACATCTGTTTCAGTTACTAACTGAAAACGGAAAATGGTGTTTAAGGGTTTTACATACGATTCTGGTATCTGGTTATGTTCCGGAAGATCTTTTGCTAATTTGGGTCCTATGTCTGTAAAAAAATTATTGAAAATATTTGCAATTTCTCCTGGTTCAGTTACTATATTCCCGTCATCTGAAATTTCATTTATATTGGTGGATTTTACATTCCTATTTGTTAATTCATTAACTTTTTTCCACATTTTCTTTGGATTTGCCTCGCAATTACTAAATGCCTGCATGTAATAATTTGCTTTCGCATTTTTAACTATTTTAACCACTTCATTTCTAGCTTTTTTGTAGGCTTCATGCGCACACTTAGACCCAGATTTTACCGCCTGTTTTTTTAGAAAATCTCTATTATGTATTCTGTCTTTTATTCTAGGCGTAATCCAGGGTATATGTTCATTTTTGACTTTACGGGTAATCTGGGGTGCGTGCATGTCTGCAACCGCTAAGAACCTTTCCTTCCAATCATTCCAAACAACATTTGGATCTTCACTATTTGATAGCGTTTCTAGTACCCTACTTAAATCATATTTAAATGCATCCACTTTATAATTCTTATATTTCCTTGTATTTATTATTTTTGGTTGTTTACGGGAAATAGATATTTTTCTTTGTATATAAATAAGACTATGGTCGCTGATTCCTACATGTTCTATTTCTGCTCCAACAATATTTTCAGGTTTATTAGTGAAGGCTAAATCAAGCAAAGTAGCGGTATTATCTGTAATTCTAGTGTGTCCTTTTATTAATTGCTCAAATTGGTATCTGGTCGCAAGATCCTTTAGTTTACCGGTTTGCGCACTTCTGTTACTGTGGTTTGGGTCCCAATTACAGTTGTAATCTCCAATAAGGATGATTTCTTTATTTTCCGCGTCCATTTTCTTTAAACAATCTTCAAAATTTTCAAATTTTTCAGATCTGGTATCTGGTGGTCTATACCAGGCATTGATTAAGAATGGTTTAGATTTTGGCTTAGAGATTTCAACTGTGATTGCCTCCAGATGTTCGTCCTCTAGGTCATGCCTTTCCTGATAATTTATTACACTTCTTATATAGATAGCTACCCCACCACCATTTCTGTTTCTATCATTTCTGACTATATCGTAACCTCTTATATTCACATCCTGATTTGCTACAGTACTGTCTAACCTAGTTTCGTTTATACAAATTATATCATATTGTTGTTTTTCTAGGTATATTCTTAATTGATCTATATTCTTAATTAAGCTTCTAATATTTAAATGCGCGATTTTAGAACCTCTTGTAGCAACTTTTCCTTTAGTAATACTTTTTGTATTATAATTTGATTTTTCATCATGCTTTTCTACTTCGTTATTGACATTTTTATCAACATTAAAACTACGCTCGATCGCAATGGAATGTCAGTTGTTTTCAACATTGTTTATGTAAGATAAAAAGTTTCTGGCCATTATCGACGTGCCTAATCTACTTAAATGAACCCCATAGGGATTCAAATGTTTAGTTTCAATGTTAGCATGATCGATTACTTGGATATTTTTACTCTCACAGTAATCTATTAATGCCATGTTTACCTTTTCTATCTTTGTCTTGTATTCTGGTCTATCCGCTCTTGTAACCAGCAGTGACACAGCTACTTCAGAGGTCGGACTATCTTTCTGAATTATTTCGCATATGTCATTAATTCCTTTGACTAATTCTTTTGCTCCTTTGCTACCGATATCGTTTGTTCCCACATGTAATATTATTTTTTCCGGCTTTCTTTGCAAGCACGGTTTAATATGGTGCTTCATATCGTCAACGCCAGCTCCCCGATAAGTTTCTGCCCTTATTGCGGTTCTTCTAGAGATCTGACCATTTTTCTTAATTCCCCGAAGCAATCGTTTACTATCTATATATTTTATCATTGAATCTCCGATTATAACTGTGCTTGCTTGGGTATTGCTCTTAAATTTTCTTGTAGGAGCTGTTTCTCTTGTAATTTCGACTTCGTCACCCTCACTTTCTTCGATAGTCAACGGGGCATATTGGTTTGAGTTCAACACTGGATTTGTGGTATGGCTTTTCGTAATTACCGATGCTGCTTGTCTCTTCGTAGCTCTGGATGGTGCTTTCGTGTCTTTTTTATTTTTATTCATCTGAACTTTGGACCATGCGTTTCGATCGTCGCCAGTGTCCGGGCAAGTATCATTACGATCCGAGTGGAGCAAACGTATGGCAGTTAGAAGACTGGCTTTTTCGTCTTCCACAGCCTTAATTTTGCTTTTCAAATCGTCTGCCGCATTTTCGTACTTATTTAGGCATTCATTCAAGTGAACGTTTGTCGACTTTAATCGTTCATTTTCTTCTTGCAATCTGCGGATATCTAGATCTTTCTGTTCGTCTGGGTTGTTTCCTGATTCATTGGTTGCGACATCTACATCTTGCGTATAGGCTTCAAACTTTTGTTCAAAACAACTGAATTTTTTACTCAGACTTTGGACAATAGTGATCAGTGAATCGAGACGATCACTCTCATTATTATTCCGCATCGAAGGAATATTTTCTGTTGCTTTGTCAAAATAGTCCTTTGACGAAGCTTTTGAGTTGTTTGATTCATATAACGGTTTCGTTTTAACCATAGCCGCTAATTTATCTTTAATCAGATTTCCTTCTTTTCCATTGAATGTTAATGTTGATTGTTTACCGTACCAAGTCATCTCGAATCTGCCGTTTATACTTGTAAAGCGCTTTGCTTCTCCCCCAGGCGATGTCCATTTACCTTGTTCATGAAGCGATTTTTGAACAAAGTCCTTTAGTGTTTGTAGTGTGCCTTTCCATAACAACCGTTCGCCATTTAACTGGAGCGGTTCGATAAGTTGTGAATGTGAGCATGAGCCTGATTTTGATTTGCTTTGATCGTGATTCGTATCGTTGTTGTCGGTGTAAAAAGATTCGTAATCATCCGTTTGGGTAAATTCGCTAAAGCTTATACTATTATCGTTGGTGAATTCGGATAAACTTTTAGCCAATATTTGGCTTGGACTAGCAGAGCAATCGTGAACACGTCCACACTCCATAACTTATAAGTAAATTTTGGATCCAATTTATGAATCGGGCTGGATTTCTTGACAGAAGCTATTTTCGCATCGACATCTTCACGTGTAACTGACTTGCTGATGATGGATAGCTCTTCTTGAAAATTGTTGCGCTGGACGTACTTCATAATTTCCTTTTCCGCTTGAATTGTTTCATCAACAACTATAGGCTTAATTTCTGATTTTCCACGGGTGTCGATTATTCCATTTCTACGCCTTGTACTAGTCACTCGCAGGCTCGTGCGATACCGAAGCATCCCAGCTATGAATTTCTTAAGTCGTTCCCACGATGAGAAGCGTTTGAAAATTGCGTCTAGGGTGGACTCGTGGGCAATGGTATATGTAGCGAACGTCTGAACTTCTCTCTTAACCTCCATATCTTCGTCGGCGATCTCACCGAGCACATTTGGTGGACTTGGCCAATGAGTTTCTGACTTCCACAAGAAATCCGGACCACTCAACCATCTTGTCTTGCTAATCAACTCATCAGCAGAAAGACCTCGTGATGCGTCGTCTGCAGGATTCAGCTGGGTTGAAACATATCTCCACTGAGATGGAGAACTGACTTCACGAATACTAGCTACACGGTTTGCGACAAACGTCTGGAATCTTTTGTCCTCGTTAGGGATGTAGCCTATAACACAGGTGCTATCTGTCCAGAATAGTGATGTATCAATTGGAATTTCAATCTCCGCACGTATCATTTTGTCCAGCCTTGTTGCGACTACGGCTGCGGATAATTCCAAACGAGGGATCATGGTCTCTTTCAGCGGTGCTAATCCTGCTTTACCCATCACGAATGAGAAGTGGATTCGAGCGTTCTGATTTGTTAATCGCAGATAGCTAACAGCACCATATCCCCGTTGCGAAGCGCCGGAAAAATGATGCAACTGACTTAAGGTAATTTCACCGAACTCTGGAGGCTTGAAACATCGGGATACACGTACTTGTTCAATTTTGGGAACTTCTTCTGGCCAGTTCTTCCAACGAAGGAGGTGCTCATATTGGATAGGGTCGTCCCAGCCGAGATTCTTCCGACAAAGATCCTGCATAATAATCTTCGCCGGTAACACGAATGGACATACGAATCCGAGAGGATCATACACCGAACTGATAATCGAAAGGATTCCTCTTCTGGTTGGAGGGTTATCTTTAACCTTGATCCTGAATCCAAATTCGTCGCGGCCGATGTCCCAGAGGACCCCAAGGGCTCGTTCAATGGATGGCTTGTCAAAACAGAGATCTTTAACTGAGGCTGCTCTTTCCGATTCGGGTAATGACGCGACAACCTTTGATGAATTACACACCCACTTTAGTCAAACGGAATCCACCTTTGGCAAGACGTTCGCGAAGATCGCTGGTCAGAACTGTTGCTTGACTGTCGTCTCCAACAGATTTGAGGCAGTCATCCACGTAAAAATTGCGTCTAACCGTGTCCGTTACTTTCACGTCGAAATGCTCGGAGTTGTCGTCTGTGGTTTTAAGCAATGCGAAGTTAGCACAGCTCGGGCAGGAAGTCGCCCCAAATAAATGGACCAACATTTGAAATTCTTTGGGTTCGGAATTAAGATCATTTTCTGGCCACCATAGGAAGCGAAGAGCATCGCAGTCTTCATGACGTACGTTGACTTGATGAAACATTGACTCAATGTCTGCCATAAGAGCCACGGGCTCCTGTCGAAAGCGAATCAAGACTCCCACACGATTATTAATTAAATCGGGTCCTCGCAGTAGTTGATCGTTGAGGGACGTCCCGTTGTAAACAGCGGCGCAATCAAACACGACTCGAATTTTATCTGGTTTGCTCTGACTGAAAACTGGATGATGAGGCAGGTACCTCAGCTTTCCGTCCGATTGCTCAAATGAATTAATTGGCACCATTCGTGCAAACCCCTTGTCGACGAGATTATTCATGAATTTAGCATACTTGGAAAATAGATCAGGATCCTTCACAAGTTTTTTTCTTCAAGACCTTTAGGCGATGTTCAGCAAGAGGCCGACTGTTTGGTAGGTGAGAGGGAGAGTTTTTCCAAGGTAAAGCTATTTCATAGTGTCCGTTGTCGAGTCGGATAGATATAGTAAACGAGACGTGAAAACAAACGAGACGTGTGTTTACGAGCTCCGTGAAATTTGAACTTCCTACACTAAACTTAGCGACTAAATACTCAGTAATATACCAATTTACTAGTATAACTGGTTAAGATTAGGAACGAACATATTGAAGACTTAAGAACGAAACTAATTGAATAAATCGAGTCAACAAAGCCGAACGACAATACAATGGCGACAGATGATGAAATCGGCAATCTTACAGCAAGTAATCTAGAATCAGAAGATCTAGAATTAGCAAAAGATTCCAGTGATCCCCACGATTACCTAAGCAGCGACGAGATCAATAATGAAGACGGTTTAACTGTAACAGACAAGGGAAATCTGAAATGGAATGGATCATATATGGGCCTCAAAAATTTCATTATGATGCAACAAATCTCGGCTGAACACTGGACTTCCTCTGGTGGGGACTGCAAGAAGTGTGAAGATTCCGGGCTGATAATACGGTGGTATTCATCGAAAGGTTCACTAACATTTGGGGGAGAAAAGAGCAAGGAAGTAAAAAATAAACTATTGCTATTAGCACAAAACAAAGAAGAAGTGAGAACGAAGTCAAGCTGTGATAAACAACAAGACAATTTACATACCGTACAGACAAAGCCTAATGGCCCCTTGGGCGCAGTGTTCACTCAAGCAGCCATTGTAGAAGATATGACTCATTACATAAAGCCAACTCTAGCCTCGAATCCAGCTGAAGTCATTGTACATATCGGTACAAATGACTTGAAATACAAGTCACCCAGAACCCTACTTAAAATGGTAGACAATCTTGGAGAAATGATTACGGAGAGTAAAGATGTTAAACTGACATTATCAGAGATTATAACCAGATGTGACGATGAAACTCTAGCGGACAAGGTAAATATTTATAATGAACTTCTAGCTAACCTTTGTTCTGAGCGAAATTGGGGGTTAATTAAGAACTCTAATATAAAGAAAGAACATTTAAATAACTATGGACTCCACTTAAACCCAAGAGGTTCGACGGTCCTAGCTAAGAACTTCAAACTGTATGTAAGTAATCAAAATTGACTAAATGTTAATACACAAAACCTAATGATGCAAGAACCTATTAGAAACTCCGGTGCAGTATCAACGGATAACCAAAGCAAACTATATCCAAAACTTAAGGGCTTTTCAATTGCGCAGTTAAATATTACCAGTCTGACTAAACATACTGACGAACTCAGGATTCTCATAACAGAAATGAACTTTGACATACTATGTATTAATGAAACAAGAATTGACAAAACAATTAAGAACTCAGAAATAGGACTTCAGGGATACGACTTAACAAGACGTGACAGAAATAGACGCGGTGGGGGTGTAGCAATATATATACGTAATACCATACCATACGTGGAGAGGTCAACAATAATCCCTGAAAATGTAGAGGCAGTATGTATCGAAGTAAGAAAGCCGAATGCCAAGCCAATACTCATTTCGACGTGGTACCGACCACCAAACTCCAATTCTGAGATTCTCGACTCTTTTGAAATCTTTCTTCAAAACATTGACACAGAAAATAAAGAAATTATAATAACTGGAGACTTTAATATAGATTTAATGCCCAGTGAGACCGAGAATAGTAAGGCAAAAAGGCTTAAAGAATTACTAAACACATATCAATTGTCTCAACTTATTAAAAAGCCTACTAGAACAACAGAATCAACGAAGACGCTCTTAGATTTAATAATTTGTAAAACTGACGACCCAAAACCCGCTACAACGGACGTTGTTGAGCTAGGTATAAGCGACCACAACCTAGTCTACACTTGTAGAAAGGTCGGAATATGTAAACAAAAACCCAAAATTATTGAAACAAGGCAATACCATAAACTAAATAATGCGAAATTCTAAAACGATTTAAAACAAGCTTTACTACATATTAATGAACATTCAGATCCAAATACGGCCCTACAGGAATGGAACAGAATTTTTCTACTGATAGCTGATATAAATGCTCCTATACGATTGAGAAAAGTGAGAAGTGACCGACAACCGTGGATGACTGATGAAATTAAAAAACTGAGCTTTCACAGAGACTACTTAAAAAAGAAAGCAGTTATGTTAAATTCCTCTGCCTTTCATAGTTCATACAAAAAATGTAAAAACAAAGTAACTAAACTTATTAGCAATGCAAAAACTCACTACTTTAGAACCAATCTCGAAAACAGCAAAAATTGCAAAGAAAACTGGATTCACATAAACAAACTGCTAAACCACAAAACGGTCAAAACTCAGACGATCAATAACATTAAATTTGGAGACCAAAATATTACAGGTGATATCAACATAGCAAATACAATTAATAACTACTTTGTAGAAATTGGACCCAAACTTGCTTCCGTTATTTCTCCTACAGACATAGACCCTATACAACCTACTCAGCCTTGTAGATCTGAATTTAACTTAAGAACAATAACAACGAAGAATTAATTCAAACAATTGGGAAAACTAACTTAAACAAGGCCCCAGGTCTAGACAAAATACCAATTAAACTAATTAAACTAGTAGGAGATGCCATTCACGACTCCTTACTACATATCTTTAACCTTGTACTGGGCACTGGCATTTTCCCAGATGATTTAAAACTTGCAAAAATAATACCTATTCATAAATAAGGTGACAAGGCGGAATGCGGAAACTACCGGCCTATATCTGTAATTCCTACTGTCGCCAAAATCCTTGAAAAGATTATATACGACCAATTAAGTTCATATATCAATGACAACGACATCATTTGTAAACAGCAATTTGGCTTTAGACCAAATCATTCTACAGAAACTGCCCTATTAAAATGCACAGATCAATGGCTACTCAACATGGATAAAGGAATGGCAAATGGAGTGCTATTTTTGGATCTTAAAAAAGCGTTTGACACGGTTGATCATCCTATTCTCCTACAAAAGTTATACCAATATGGTATAAAGGGTACTCCTCTAAAATTACTAGCATCTTACTTAAACAACAGAAAACAAGTTTGTGTCATTAATAACAACAAGTCAGGCCAAGAAACAGTTCAATGTGGAGTACCACAGGGTTCCAATCTGGGACCATTGCTATTCTCATTGTACATAAATGATTTACCAATGTGCCTTGAGTACACACAAGCATCCATGTTTGCTGATGACACCAATCTATCATGCACAGGAAGGACCCCAGCCGAAATCGAGCACAAACTAAACGCTGACTTATCCAATGTTAACGACTGGTTAGAAACAAATAGGTTGACATTGAACACAGACAAAACAGAATTTATGATAATAGCCTCAAAAAGAAAACTTAATCAATTTCGCACTGATATTCGTATACATATAAACGGATCCATTATTAAACAAGTTAAGCAAAAAAAACCCTTAGGTATTACAATTGATAACGAACTAAGGTGGACTGAACACATTAATGAGCAATGCAAAAAACTTTCAAATGCAATAGCTCTGCTTAGAAAGGCAAAACCACACGTACCTGACAACGACTTACTCCGTATTTACAATTCCCTGGTAGTTCCTTACTTTACATACTGTTCGACAGTTTGGAACGATGGAAACAAAACAAATTTGGAAAAACTTTATAAATTACAAAAGCGAGCCGCTCGTATAATTACTGGATTAAACTATGAAACAAGATCAAAAACAATCCTCCAGAGTCTAGGTTGGCATCCAATAGATAACATTCTTAAAAAACGAGAATTTCTAATTACGTTTAAGGCTATCCGAGGTATAGCGCCGGAGTGCATCTGTAAAATGTTCTCCTACTGTGATAATAGAAGTCACCACATGCGGAGCAACGGGCGGAAACTAACTCTCGATAAACCTAATAGATCATTTATGAAAAAGTCATTTTCATATCGAGGAGCTTCCGCCTGGAACTCATTACCTAACGAAATCTTAGACGTTCACGAACAGTTGACGATACATTCTTTTAAAACTAAGCTCAACAATCACCTACGTTGAAAAAAATATCCAATTGTAAAGACTCCTAGTCAACTACACTATTTTGTAAATACTTATACTATTATGTAAATATTGATTTTGTACTTTCTTTTATGTAAACAACCCCTTTAAAAGCAGCGTAGGCTGAAGGGTTATTGTTTGTAAATAAGTTTTGATAATAATAATAATAATAATTTTCCATGATATTCACTGCGCGAGAATCCTCTGTAGACATTGCAAGCTTGCTGTCGAATGTAGAGTCGTTGAATTCAACATTACAAAACTTCTCAAATTGCGTACTCAACGTGTGATCACTTCGAATATAGTTGGTTGAACGACATGTTCGTGAATTCCTTCCAAGCGGTCCGTTAATTGTCCACCCGAAAACCGTTCTCACAGCGTCCGGGCTACTGCCTTCGCATTCTTTAATTTCTTTTGACTCCAACGCCCTTGGTGCATCATTACCAATAAGGAGGCCAATACTAGCATTAATTCTTGTTATCTGGATATCCTTGAGATGTGATCATCTGTCTACGTCTGCTTGTTTGGGAATACTGGATTCATCGACTGGCAACTTCGAGGTAGAAAACACTTAAGGAAGATCGACGATGTTATTTTCTTCCAAATCGAATACTTCAAGGTTGACTACACCACATTCGGTTGATCTGTTCTCGTTTTGTATGATAGTAAGCGAGAGGGTAGTTTTCTCTCCTTTTTCCCCCAAGTTGTTTCAGCAACTCGTCCGTACAAAACGTCGTATTTGATCCAGCGTCTAAGAAAGCGTACGTCAGGATCGTCTTATCATGATTTCTACACTTGACTTTGACGGGTACTATCGCTAAACAGTTGAAGTCACGCCGGCCCCAATGACGTCACACCTGCTAACATTCGTATTAACATAACCATTTTGTGCAACGGTAATTTCAGTCTCATTTGCTTCTTTACCATTTGCTTCAGTGGACTGTTCATCGAAAGGTTTCTCTTCGCGCCGATCCACATTTCTTGGATGTAAAAACGTTGAATGTTTTGCTTGACAACCAGCCACTTTGCAAAAACTTTCTTTCGGGCATGATCTGGCAATATAACCATGGAAAAGGCAATTTTTACATAAGTCTTTTTTCCGCACTAACTTTAGTCTGTTTTCAATGATTTCCCTCTTGAACACGTCACATCGAGATAAAAGGTGGGCACCGTTGCACTTTGGACAGTTCTTGTAATAGGCTCTCATTTCCAATCTACCTGCTGTAGCCTCTGTATTCACGAAGTTACGGTGAACATTCTTCTCATTACCATTCACTCCAAAGGCGTATCTACTTCTTGGACCCTTAGGATCTTGTATTAATTTGTTCTTGGAATCACTGTTAATTTTGCCAAAGATGGGATGAGTAAAAGCCTTGGCTTTCACTTTTACAAATTTCTCTATGTCCTCGAACGTTATCTCTCTCATCTTATTGCTGGTTATATCATCTGCTACGTCACGCCATCTCTGCCTCAGCAAATAGGGTAGTCTACTGATCACACTCTGCAAGCTGTCCGGATTTTAAAGTTTGCTGAGATAACCAATCTCCTTTAGGGTGAACTTGCAACTCGTGAGCAATACAGACAACCTTTGAAGCGCCTCGCCATCTTCAGACTTGATTTGCGGTACATTTGTGACTCGATCCAAACAGGCTGTTGGCCATACCGTTGCTTCAAGAGTTTCCTTGCAACTTGGTATCCTTCATCGGGATTCATGGACAAACAGCTCCGCATAAACTTCTGCACATCACCAGAAGTATATTGGACTAAGTAATACAGCCTTGAACCACTAGATGGCGTCTTCGCTACGATGAGGGTTTCAAACGATCTTATAAAATGGCAGTAGTCAACAGGATCACCACCAAACATTGGGACTTGAGCGTTCGGTAATGTCATCGAGAGAGCCGATTGCTGATGTTGATTCAGGAGATGTTGTAAATGAAAGTCTCTTGATTGTTGCATTTGAAACATTTCTTGATTTTGGTGATGTTGTTGTCGTTGCATATCCAACATGTCGTGCAGGAAATTTTCTGCTAATTCTGAATCATAATTCTGAATTGATTTTTGCCCAGTTGACTTCATCTGTTGTTGGAGATACTGGGGTGTATTGTTACTAACGCGTGAAGGCTGTGGATATTCATCAGTTGGAAGTAGTGGCAGTTGAAGTGGACGCGATGGTGGGTGGTGAAAATTTTCTCCCAAGTCGGCCATAGCATAAACTCTCTCTTCCGCTTCGGCCTTTGCAATTTGTGTTTGTAATTGTAGCTGATGCTTTCTCTGTTTAAGACGCAGTCTCTCTTCTTCTTGACGCTGTTGTTGAGCCAACTCTTGATGTTTCAGTCGAAGCTCCTCTTCTTCCAGGGCTCGATGCTCGTTCAAAGCGGCTGCCTCAGCTTTTAACGCTGCCTTTTTTGCTGTAGCATTTGCCATACTGCTACGAGTTGATGCTTCGGTTTTCCGCGAACTTACAACAGAGTTTCTTGTTTTGCTTCGACTTTTATATGCGATGTTGCTCGCTGAGTCGCCGGACTTTACATCGTATTCTAATGTTCGATGTTCGGTTGAAAGACTTGTAATCCATTCTTCTAAAGTTCGCTGAAAGTTCTCGATTCTCCTAATTTCTATTTGCAGATACTCGTGAGAGTCCTCGAGATCATATTCGTCTTTGATTGCATCATGATAACGTTCGTGGGCGACATAAAAGTTATTCACAACATCATTAAATTCGTGTCTTTTGTTTCGGGCTTCGCTTACATCTAGAAAGGTCAATTTTAATTCAGATAGCTCTTTAATCTTCTTAGTAATGTTGCCTTTTGCAGCAGATCTATTTCTTCGCAGTTGTTCAGACCTTTCGACTGCTTGATCTAAAGTCATGTTTAGGCGTTCCGCTTGATCGCTTGTCTCGTCTGTAATTTCTTTGTCAAATTCCGCCATATTGAAACATCAAATTTTAAGCAAAAAACATCCTTGAAACATTGAGTAAAGTATAGTTGACTTTCGGTATATCGATGAGGATAACTTCGAACTTATGTAGAAACAAATCGTCTGCTTCTTGTTCTACAGCTTCTGCTTTTAGGTCAACTTCGAACTCGTACGGTAAAATCAATAATCATTTAATACGGTTCGACTAAACAAAACAAATACATACAAACTAAGACACTACACTATAAATTAATCGCATAATATGAAATAAAAACTTACAGATATTCACTCTGTTAGAGTAAAGTAAATTCTGTCAATAAGTGCAGACGAGAAACAGTCCGTTAGCGTTGACTTAGATATAGATTCTAAATAATTTCACAGTCCAGACAAAGTTCAAAGGTATTGAACGCATGACTGCACACGTTCCATGATCACAATAAATTACCATGTATACTAACTTCAAAAACTCATTAATAATTCATGAAGCAATTATCCAATCTTGGTAAGAAATTAGTCACGTGCATACGTCTTTACACCAGCTAAAGAACATTTTAACAAAAGACCATTGTTATGCAAACTATATAAAGATTTTTATATAAAGATTTTTATATAAAGATTTTTATATAAAGATTTTTATATAAAGATTTTTATATAAAGATTTTTATATAAAGATTTTTATCTTTTTTGTACTATTTAAAAAAACTCGCAGGTCGTGTTTTATTAGGTCTAAAACCACTCGCGCTGCGCGCTCGTGGCTTTAAACCTAATAAAACACACCTGCTCGTTTTTTAAATAGTACTTAAAATACAATAAATCCGGAAGCAGGACTGAATCCTACAAATATTATTAAGGAAATGTACAATTTGATTGACACTTAGGATATAGTACATAACATGTGAGCGAGCGTTGACTTTAAAACGGGAATTATAACTTAAACAAAACGTGATATTATACAGTCTTTATTTCTTCAAACCGATTGTGGGAATCAAACTAAACTTCACCAAACTAGAGCATTTCGTAGACCGTCCCAATGAGCAGGTTTGAAATTGAATACAGTTCTCTTGTCATGCCCTGACTCTTTTAAAAGAAGCATAAAATTAAAGAACATCAGACGATGGTCACTTGAAAGGTTCAAAGATTTCGCCAAAACGCATGATAAACTACCAATGTTTTCTGAAGTGTTTGTTAGGATAAGGTCTAATGTATTGTTTAGTCTAGTGGGATACATATTCATTTGTTGCCAAAAAAAAGTCGAATGTAAGTTCTCTAAACTCTGATGAACCAACCGAAGGGGTCCTTTCTGATATATTCGGTAGAAGAGAGGAATTCCAAGTTAAGTCTGGGAAATGAAAGTCACCAGTAATAATTACTTTATCGTAGTGGGAAGTATCATTCAGAAATGCTTTGAATAATTCAAGCCATTCATTTAAGTTACAATTCGGTGGTCGATAACAAACGGAAACAAGATATTTTTTGGTGTTCAACATTTCTGACTCAAGAGCAATAATTTCTAAACGATTTGACCAGTTTGGATTATTTTTACTTGCGTTTAGTCTATTAGGCTATATGTGATATTTTCACGTAGATCTATAAGCTCCCCATCACCGCGTTTGTCAGCCACTCGATCGTTTCTTATTATGTTATAACCTTTTGAAAGCAATTCATTTTTCGATAAGTTGCTGTTAAGCCATGTTTCAGTTAGGAGAATCAAATCAAGATTATATGCGTAAACCAGATCTTGGAAAGACTTCATGTTATCAATTAAAGTCTCGTCACGTAATTTTGTGGTACTTCGAATACTCTGGGCATTGAATGAAAGACACCGAAGGATATGGTCATTACGAGGACCTGGGTTGGTAGCAATTTCACCAGATAATAGGGAGCTTTAGATTTGACTACGAGTACGACTACGAGTACGAGATATGATCGCGTGCTAGGAAACAGGGTCAGCAAATCGACAAATTGTTAACACAGTCGGCAAATTAAACAGGATTGGCTAAAGATAACCACTAAAGAAACCAAAATTGACCTCCTGAATAATTGAATTCAAACCGAATATCACGAATAGTATGCAACAAAGAAACCACACATGCAGCAATGCAAGTTTCTTCGAATACAGTATCTTCACTTCTGGCAGCTAGTCCAAAAACATAATATTATTGAAATCATAATTAGGTAATTAAATTTGTTGTTGTTGTTGTTGCTGTTGCTGTTGCTGTTGTTGTTGTTGCTGTTGTTGTTGTTGCTGTTGTTGTTGTTGTTGTTGTTGTTGTTGTTGTTGTTGTTGTTGTTGTTGTTGTTGTTGTTGCTGTTGCTGTCGCTGTCGCTGTCGCTGTCGCTGTCGCTGTCGCTGTCGCTGTCGCTGTCGCTGTCGCTGCCGCTGCCGCTGCCGCTGTCGCTGTCGCTGTCGTTGTCGTTGTCGTTGTCGTTG